TGGTAGTTTGTGTATGCCAGCAGTGAAGAAGTCTGGAGAGTGCGTGGCAATGAAATCTTGAAGTGTTTTCCACAGCCTGTTTTCCACAGCCTGTTGAGAACTGATTATTTTTTCCCACAAGAAGTGAACCTTGGAAAGAACCTGGAAGAACCAAAGCCTCAGGTGATGCAAGTTCTGGTGAATACAGTGCAGAGAACTGATTATTTTTTCCCACAAGAAGTGAACCTTGGAAAGAACCTGGAAGAACCAAAGCCTCAGGTGATGCAAGTTCTGGTGAATACAGTGCTTCTAAGTCCAGCTTCTGTACTTTGAGCAGCGCTGTTTGTGCGACACGTGGTCGAGCAGTGCCTTGCAAGAGCACTGGCCTTGACCATTGGTCTGCTGACCAGTGTGGCTGCTTAATCATAAGCTACCTCATCACTTGGTCCAGTTGGTTCAGTAGACATCCATAGTAATTGACCAGGTTTCGTGAAGCTGTAGAGGATAACACCAGGGCTGGACCACCAAACAGACACTATTAATTTTTTAAATTCATACTTGGTTTTGGACTGTGTTTTAACACTTCGTCTTTATCCAACCATCATGCTGCATGTTTGTGATTGTCAAAAAGAATCCATTATTCATCGCATGTAACAATATGGTGAAGAAATGATTTGCCTTTACGTTGTGACAGCAAAGAAAGGCAGGCTCTGAGGTGATTTCTCTTCTGATGCTCATTTAATTCATGCAGAACCCATCTATCCAGATTCTTTACCTTGCTGACTTGTTTCACACGGTCTGATGTTGTTGGAATTGCAAAATTGAAGCCTGCTGCTAATTCACACAAAGATCAAGAGGGATTCGCTTGCACAGCTTCAGGTCGCCATCATCCACGCGGGTCTGAGGTCTTGCACATGACTTGTTTTCAAGATTGAAATCGCCAGAACCATCGATGTACTGTGCGGTCATTAGCCACATCCTTCCCAACACTGTGCTGCTATCTTAGGCTGTCTGCTCTGAATGGGTTCCATGATGGAACTCATATTCGCAAATAACATGAATTTTTGACTTACCTATGGTTGCACAAAATTGTTCTGAGTTTGGAAGATAATCACAAGACAAAATATACATTGGAAAAAATGAGGCAATACCTTCACAATAAAAATAAAACAAGAAGTGTCAAACCGAAATGTCAGAGATATCAACTGCCAAATGTGCTTAAGGAAATCAGACATTTTACACTTACTCATGTCTTATGTAGATATAGACACATATATATGTATATACACACACACACACACACACAATATTATTAATCAGCCATGCATTACTGTTTACCTCTTGAAAAGTAGACTAGACAAGGTTTGCATAGGAAGGATGTGACAAACTTCAGTCAGATGTAGGAGCTGCTTACTCAGGTCTCCGAACCAGGCCTTAATTAGGATGCTTGGAAAAGAAGAGCAAATGAAAATTATTAAGCAGCACTGTGGATTCCTGTTTCTAATTTTAAAGAGGAAATTATGCATTAATCAAGCTGTGGGCTGAAGCTCAGAGGCACGTTTTTGATCTAATCAGGTGTAGGGTATTTTATTGTATACGATTCTCTTACTGACCCTTCACCTAAGGCTCTTTCTAGAGACCAGTATTTTCCTGACAAAAAGGAACAGTTGTCTAAATCTTTGTTCCTTGAAGTGTTGCCTACCTACCACCAGGAACAAGGTCACTGGAGAATCTGAGCTTCCTCTACAGACTCCCTGAACTGGAATCAGCATTTTCACAAGATCCACTAGTGATTGGACACGTCTCTAGGATTTGGATAAACAAATAATAATGGAGAAGAAGGTAGTTTCAGAAGGGGGACTCAGAGGCAGCAAGAGATGCAGAATTTAAAGGCCCCATTGACTGATCTGGAGGTGGGGAGGTTTATAAACTGGAGAATAATGTAAACCAAGTGGTGGGAAAGAAGAGCAGTGGCCACCACACAGGTGGGCGTGGGAAGAGAGGGTGGAAGCACCAAGAACAACTGGGGAATGTTGCTCAACACCGAGCAGGAGCATTATTGATCTGGTATGTATTTTTGGCAATGGGGATGGTAAAGGACAGGCTCTATGAGACATTCTGAATTAGTTTATTTAAGTGACTGGGATGAGTTGACACTACTGTAGGAAGGTGAAACAGGTAGGGAGTTAGGAGGCAGAGGCGTGTAATACAGAGACTACACGTGCAATGATAAAGTGTGAAGAAAGGATGAAGCCTAGCTCTCCATTTCTCAGGTTTTTACCCTGTTCAATTAAATGTGTAATAGCCCCTGGGCCTGGCACTGCCTTACTAGTTAAAAAGTAGGTTTTTAAAAACGATGGTAGGTAGGGAGGCAGACATCTATGTAGTTTCCAAAAAAAATGACTTTATTCTTATGTGATTTGCATAATAGGAGTTTTATCTTTTAATCCCGTGTTACAAAGGACAGCTTAGTAGCTATTTTCTGAATATTGGCTAGAAACATTGAATATCTACTATCAACATTACAGTGTACCTTTTCGGTATTTTAAAAATGAATATTCTCACATAATTCAGGGCTGTTCGCTTCAAATTAAAACATAGTTTAAAAAATTTCAGGTGTGACAATTCCTGTTTTTTCCCCCACTTTTTAAAATGAAACCATCAAAACATATACTTCAAATTAATTTTAGGACTACAGTGAATCCCAAAGATTAAGAACATTGCATGGAGAACCCACAAACACTATTTGCCTTTTCTTAACATAAAAATGTAAACAATTGCTCTGGTACCATTTAGCTCAAGGAATTCAAAGAAAAGAAAAAAGCCAACAATGGAAACTAGGCTGCTGACAGAATGCTCTAAGAATCATAAACTAATGTTTTCTGACTTAGACCGACATTTTTGATTTGTTGTTACAGGATGTTGTCGCACTCGGCAATACATCTGGCGGACTCTACAAGTGCAAAACCACAGCCAGGTAAGTCCCCTTCTCCCAGAATGCCCCACCTTCTTGTTCCTTCCTAGATTGTTCCCATTCATTCACAAGAAGCCTGGGTTTCTGCCTTGCAAGGATTACTGTAAACTGCAGTCAGATGTAGGAGCTGCTTACTCAGGTCTCCGAACCAGGCCTTAATTAGGATGCTTGGAAAAGAAGAGCAAATGAAAATTATTAAGCAGCACTGTGGATTCCTGTTTCTAATTTTAAAGAGGAAATTATGCATTAATCAAGCTGTGGGCTGAAGCTCAGAGGCACATTTTTGAAAGATCCCAAAATAACAGGGAGAAATGTTTTGCTCTGTTTTGATAAAACCACCCAAACCCCTCTTGACTACTTGCTAAGATCGTATGGTATATTTTAACATGTGGTGTGCTAGGCTACGAGATACTAAATTTTGGTTACGTTAACAAAATTACTGGGTTTAAAATGTAGCATGATAATCAACGTTAGGCACATATTCCCTAAAAATAAAACAGGAATGTGCAAAACCCATTTTCAGAGGTGAATGGAAGGTGAATTAAATGGTTTAAGAGAGGAACACAACTCTAAAAAGGGGCTACATGGGCAGATGATTCCTGATACGTGGGAAGTGGCTTTCGTGACAACAGTTTTTGGTGCTACAGATTGGAATCTGTGATGACATTGTAATTTGTGATGATCGAACTTATACTTAAGAAAAGGATAGTCATTGTTTTAAATGAGAGTGGGAAGATTCTTCCTGTTTTCAACAAAGCAATGAAGTATGGATGCTGTATTCTTAAAAATTCTTAGCAATTCAATCTCGAATTTCTTATCCTGGTCCACATGGTGAAAATAAAGAACATACCTGGAAATATGGACTGCAAGGCTGGGTGCGGTGGCTCCCCCCTGTTATCCCAGCACTCTGGGCGGCCAAGGCAGGAGGATCTCTTGAGCTTAGGAGTTCAAGATCGGCCTGAGCAAGCGTGAGATTTTGTCTCAGGTAAAAATAGAAAACTGAGCCAGGCGTTGTGGTGGGTGCCTGTGGTCTTAGCTACTTGGGAAGCTGAGGCAGGAGGATGACTTGAACCCAGGAGTTTGAGGTTCCAGTGAGTTAGGCTGATGCCAGGGTACTCTAGCCTGGACAACAGAGTGTGACTATCTTAAAAAAATAGTCTCTGTAAATTTATTCCATATATGACTCTAAAGGAGTAATTTAAATTTTTGTTCTTAACTAGCTTCACTGATTTAAGAAATTCCTTTCAAAAATGGTGGTATAGGGGTGACAGCAATGAATCCTGAATGCTGTTCTGTGAAGCAGTATAAATTGAGTATCTCTTATCCAAAGTGCTTTGGATGAGAAGTGCTTTGGGTTTGGGATTTTTTCTTCTCTCTCTCTCTCTTCTTTTTTTACTTTAGAATATTTACTTGATATTTAGTAGCTGAGCTTCTAAATTCAAGATCCAAAATGCTCCAGTGATCATCTCCTTTAAACATCATTTGGTGCTCTAAAGAATTTTCAGACTTTAGAGCACTTCAGATTTCAGATTTTCGGGTTTGTCTTTTTGCATCTCAGTACCCAAAGCCACAGAGACTAGCTTGGCATATCTTGTCTACTTCTATCTTTCCTCTGAATGTATTTATGATAAAGATGCTCTAGTCTTTTTTTTTTTTTTTTTTTTTTCTGGTTTGTTTCTCCTTCCAGAGTCTTGTTGATCACCTATGGTTCAGTGCCAAATACAGAATTAACAAAAAACCAAAGGTTTCTTCCTAGATTTTGCTGTTTTCCCCTAAAATGGCCTGTTATCTTTTGCCTGTCTTTCCCCATTGTGACACAGAGGACAACAGCTTCTCTCACAGCCTAAATCTTAGACTGAGGCACGGCTTAAGAAACAAGCTGGTTGGTTCAGTATGAGATGCTGCCGAAAATGCAGGGGCAGCCCGGTCCCGAGGTCGCTGCATTTCTCTATTGTCGTGTCCTCCGGAGTCTTCACACACTAGAAAAATTAGCCTCAATCACCCTAGAATCCTCATCAGCCACAGATCAAAATGGCAGGTTTGGGGAAACAGTGTTTCCTCAAAATACTGCAGATCCATTATGGCAAGCAGAGAGTTCCTGCCAGGGACGGCTGTCACTCTGAGCTCCTTTTTGGCTATAGCAGCTGAGGTGAAGGAGCTGCGGCTTTCGTAATGTCCACAAAGACGGTCTCGCCTTCAAAGCAAACTTTTATTATCAGAACTAAAATCTGTGTGAGGGGAGAGACAGAGTGATGGTGTGTGAGCTTGTGTGTTTCTTTATCCACTACAGTTTTAAACACAGCAAGCATGCGGAAAGCATTTGCCAAGTGAGTGAAGCTACTCATGGGGGTCTCATTAGACTAAGGGAACACGCCTGGGATGGAGAGAGAAGATTCACTAAGAAGATGAAAAAATGGTCACAGTAAGAAAATTGTGACTCTATAGCTCTTTATGGGAAATTTCGATGGGCAGGGTTCAGACAGTTCCACTAAGTAGGCACGTTCATATTCTCTTCTTAAATCTAAAAGGACGTGAGTCCTGGTTAATTCTTTGTTAAAGTTAGACCACCAGGTTAAGAGGTTTTGTTGGAGTTGCTTGCTTGTTTGTGTTCCTAGCACTTCATTTCACTCACTTCCCCTTTTGTCACTCATTATTCTGAGTTTCTTCCATTCTGCAGAAAAAGATCTCGGGATTTTTCCACTAGCCAATTCTGGCTTCTCATCCTCCCCAACCTCCACACCACCACCAGAAACAGCAGCAACAGACAGAAGAAAACAAAAATAGTCTTCCTTCTACATCCCTTTAGGGCCAAATGACCAAGACTTGTTTTACCAAAGACTTTTTTTTTAACCCCCAGAGACTTCACTCGTCTTTGACACATTCGGTGACACCATCTCCTTTTTTTTTTTTTGGTAGGCTTTTGTTTCTTTAGCTCTCTGCTAATACTGCCTGCTGAAAGGAAGGGCCTGGACAAGTGGCAACAGGATTGATGACACTACCTGGTGGGGAGATAGCCAGCTGTGGCCTCCTGGTGGAGAGCTCCCGGCTTAATGAGTAACACATTATACACAGAGCCTGCGGTTGAGGGACAGCTGGCACGGTGCTGGCTTCCACCTCCTTTAGCAGATACACTTCCTTAGACGTCGTGCGGTTGACATCAGGGCACCCACAGGGGCTCATTCAAACGTTCTCATTGCGCTTTCCATCCTGTTTACTTGCATGGACTACAGATCCAGACGGAGCCAAACTTCACCTCGCTGTTTTCTGTTTTCATGTTGTATATGAAGTGAGAAACCTTGGCTTGGAAAATTAGATATTTTTAGTCCCTGTGCAATGAGTGTTAGAGGTTTGTGGTTATCAAGTTTAGTGTGTTACAGGCCGACGAGGAGGAGGGTGGCCAGACTGAGGTTAAAAAAGTGTGAAAAGATGTTAACAGGAACAGGGCTGTGCTAATACATGTCTCTTCCTATAAAGCAAAACAGCGCATGTATTTCTTAACAGAACCAGAAGGCTGGGACATGGGTGGTGAGTAGGTTTGCATCACCATTGATTCAAGTTGATCTTTTCCAGAGAAATAGTTCTGATACTAGGTGTTGAATACCTTTTTTGGAAGGCTTATAGGATATTTGCATTCAACAAAAACCATTTATTATGCTTTCTTTGTGCATTTTGCTCAAAGCCAGAGATACAAAAATACAAAAACAAAAAGAGCATGTTTTTTGCCTTTGGGGAATAAAGAGATGGGGTTAAATAACAAGAGTTATTTACTCTGTTACAAATACTGTGTAACCACCAAATTTTGGTGCAATGATAGGAGTCATTACAAATAGTTTCTAATGAGTGTAGAAGCATCTGAGACTGTAGGGATTGGTGGGGCTTGGGACTGACAAAGAAAGATTAGGGGAGAAGCTCTGAATGACTGGAAGTTCTGGGGTTCATAGATACCACTCAAGGGCAACAACAAGTAATCTAAGAGTTCACAGCAATGGTTCTGAAAGTGCAGGGCTTAGCGAACAGCACTAGCGTCATCAAGAACTTATTAGAAATGTAAATCTTATACCCCACCCCAGACCTTACAAAATCAGAAACTGTGGAGGTGGAGCCCAGCAGTCTGGGATTTAATAAACCCTCCAGGTGATCCTGGTGCGTGCTATAGTTTGGGAACCAAAGCACAGGGTGTGAACTTTCAAACTTGACTTCACGTCAGAATCACCTGGGAGTTTAAAAATATGATGCCTGGGCCCCATCCCAGAGGATCTGATTTAATTAGTCTGAGGAAACTGAGATTCTGAGAGAGTGAATAATTTCCCTGAGGTCACAAAGCTAATAGGTAGGAATTAGTGCCTGGGTCTGTCTGACACGAAGGCCCGTATTTGTTCATTTTTTTGCATAGACCTCTTAATCTGTGTGAGGGCAGAGCTTGTGCAACCTTTTTCATGGACACCTGGACACACTGTAAAAGGTCTCTCATTATTTATTTCTGTTTCCTCAAAGGAATGAGCCTTTGAACAGTAATGACATTTGAAGATACGATTTTGTATTTTGGAAGCAGGGCAAGAACGTATGTCAAGCTATGTTTTTAATGTTACTCTTTAAAAATACGTTTGTTTATAAATCCATGAACTCCAATACATCCGTATTTTCAGCAAATCCATTGCACAGTCATCCCATACAGAACCAATATATGCAATTGCCCTCAAACAGAATAATATTTTCATTTTGCACAAGTATTCACATAGGGTTTCAAAGTCATCAAGGACAACGTGTGAGGAAGGGCAACTGGTGGCCCCTGAATTTTATTTTACTAAATTTTTATTTATTTATTTTGAGACCTACTCTCACTCTGTTGCTCAGGCTAGGAGGCCATTGCATCATCCTAGCTCCCAGCAACCTCAAACTCGTGGGTTCCAGCGATCTTCCCGTCTCAGTAGCTGGGATCACAGATGTCCCTGAGTGGCCAGGACTAGAGGCTCCTGCAATAGCACCTGGCTAATTTTTCTATTTTTAGAAAATAAAAATAATTTCTTGTTTAGGCTGCTATCTTTTTAAATAGCCTTTATTTCTTAGGGCAGTTTTAGATTCATAGCAAAAAGGAGCCACAGGTACAAAGATACACCATATTCTCTGCCACCACACATGTAAAGCCTTCCCTGATTACCACCCCCACTGGAACGGTACATTTGGTATAAATTATGAACCTACATGGACACATCATTGTCATCCACACGCTATAGTTTTATTAGGATTCACTCTGGGTGCTGAACATCCTATGAGTTTGGGCAAATGTATACTGACACGTATCCACCACTGTACTGTCAGACACGGTATTTTCACTGACCTGAAAATCCTCTGTGTTCTTCCAGTTCAGCGCTCCTTCCCCTTGACATTGGTAACCATTTTATTTTTTAATCTTTCATTGTCTCTATAGTTTTGCCTTTTCCAGAAGGCCGTATAGTTGGAATCACACAAGATGTAGCCTTCCAAGCTGACTTCTTTTACTTAGTAACGTGCATTTACATTTTCTCTTTATCTTTTCATGGTTTGATTGCTCATTTCTTTTTGGTGCTGGGTGACGTGCCATTATCTAGAATGTACCACGTTTATTTATTGATTTGCCTGATCCAGAACCTCTGCAAAAATTGGTTGCTTCCAATTTTTGGCTATCATGAACAAGGCTGCTTTACACCTCCATGTGCAGGTTTGTGTGTGGACATAAATTTTTAACTTCTATGAGTAAACACCGAGGAACACAATTACGCAATCGTATTGTAAGTGTATATTTAGTTTTTATATGCCCTTGAGATTTTTACCGGTATGCAAATGAATTTTTTTTTTTTTACCATTTTGGCTGGGGCTGGGTTTGAAACTGCCACCTCCGGCATATGGGGCCAATGCCCTACTCCTTTGAGCCACAGGCGCCGCCCATGAATATTAAAATGATTACTAGTTATGCATGATATAATGGTAACTTTAAGCAACGATACCATCTGGTCTTTCTGCTAAGTGCTCTGTGTGGACTGTAGCATTTAATCTGTACAACCAGCTATGAGATAGATACATGGTACTATTTCACTCCTTTTACAGAGGCTTAAGATCTAATACCTTTCACTAGCTATGCGAGCTTGGATATAGTGAATTCAAAATTGAATGAAGCCATTCTGAAACCAAAGCCCATCTTTACAGGGCGGTGGACTGCAGGCCAGGCTAAGTATCTGAATATCACAGCCCCTTCTCGCAAAGCGGCCATCGGCAGTTCCTTTCCTGTGGATTGCTGGCGGCAGCTCACTAGAGGTCAGGCACCTGGGAAATTTGCTGATTTAGAAGCTGTCTTGGATCTAGAAGTCTATCTTTTAGTGATGCACTTTAAAGTGTTCCGCCGACCTGATCTAATTGAACATTTTCTTGCAAAGCGTTTTGAAATACATTAATCACATAGTAGATACCATAGAAAGTTCAACAGAGGCAAAAATCCATGTGCTGCAGAGATGGTTTTCTTTGCTTACCTACTTCTGGGTGTTTTCTTATTACAAAATTCCCATCACTTAGAGAAAACTTGCCATATCTCTGTTTCTTATCACTTCAAAGAGCCTGACTAATACAATCTCAGGAGATCCAATGAGTTATGTACAAAAGGGTGTGGAAACTTAAAACTTAGCCCTGAACCTCTCTATGAGTCAGAGACTTTTTTGTCAGCCGGGAGATGTTAATATGACTCCACCCACCATCTTCTAGTTATGCTTATTGATAACTAGAATAGTGAAAGTCAAGGTCTGAGTTCTTGATCCAATTCTGCTTTCAGGTTGCAAAGGTCTCTTAGGGTCCATTAACTTTTCACTTCTGCTGAAGCTTGCCTGACCCTGACATTCAGCATCTATTTTTCTATAGCACATTTGAGCAACTGTGGAATTGCCAGGATGACAGAAGGAGAATTTCATACTCGAGCAGCTTTTATTAAAAACAGATAATTTATAAATATGCTGTGGTCACATAGTTATTTTAGGCTGAATTATGATGCTTCATATACCTTGGTAGAGGAATAATTATGATGTTTAAAGTAGCATATAAAAAGATTTTTTGTATTTGAGATTTGTAGTTGAAATCTAGGTAATAGCTTACCTATTATATCTAACATGTAAACAATTTTACCTCGCCTCTGCTCAGATGCCTGGAATCATAATTAC